CCTCAAGGACTCAAAGCTAGAGAGTAGAGAAAAATCATTAATAAACCCTAGATTTCACAAAAAACAGTAAAGTGCTGAGTGCATCACAAAAAAATCTTCATGGCTTCATCTTCTAAATAAACCCTAGATTTCCCGAAAAACATTAAAGTGCATCACAAAAAAATCTTCATGGCTTCATCTTCTAAATAAACCCTAGATTTCTCGAAATAAACCCTAGATTTCACGGGAATACCGAATACGAGATTGAAGATCACAAAATCTTATAAAATGAAGAACACAAAATATCAAAGTCAAAACCTTCATGGCTTCATCTTCTAAAGCTAAACTATCAAAAAATACTAATAGCAAAGAGAAACGAGATACAAACAGTGAAATAGATTAGGGAATGTGTGAAGCGTAAGCGTAGACGCCTTCGTGGCTTCGTGCCGAGTGCCGACGATACAAAGAGGCGGAGACTGGAGTCTGGAGAGCAGACTGAGAGGCGGAGAGCCGGAGAGGAGAATGAGAGATTCGGAAACCCTAAATAGAACTCAGGAGACTGAACGAGACGAGAAGTCGAGAATCGAGAGGCGAGCCGCGAGAGCTGAGACTGAGAGCATATGAGTCGCTCGACGCCTCGACAGATGCCCTAAATATTTCAAGTCGCGGGTCAATTCGGGTTTTAATCGGGTTTCCGGGTCAACCCGGACCCGACCCGAATAATTATATGGGTCGAAATTGCAGAACCGAACCCGACCCGTTATTTATCCGGGTCGACCCGAACCCGAGAATTTCGGGTCGGTTTCGGATCAGGTTTTCGGGTCGGATCAATTGTTGACAGGTCTAGGAGAACGTAATGTTGAATTAGTATCATTTTTTCAAAAAATTTAAAACAACAAAAATATTTTTATCTCCCCTATTTTTTAAAAAAGGGTTTATTCTAGTGAGGGGGAGATTAGGAGATTTTACATTTTTTTTTCTTGAAAATTCAAATTAAATTGTTTGCCATCATCAAAAAGGGGGAGATTATTGCGGATCTATGGTTTATGATTTTGATGATAGCAAACATTCTTTATGTCTCTACGATTGCCTTATGTGCTAACGTTTCAGGTCCACACAATCAGACTACAATTTGGAACCAGCTCAAGATTGGGTAGACTAGGTTTGTGTCAATTTGTAATCTTTTTTCCTTTCTTGAGTCTGTTATTTGGTGTGGCACTTAATGATTTGTAACTTGGAAGATTTTCTGTTGTGCCCTAAAAGATTTTTATTTTTGGTAACATTGTTCGGGATGATATTTATATCGTCCTGGACGATCTGATAAAAGTAGAAACCCTAATTAGGGCATCCTCATTAAAGCCACCATCTTTATGCAAAACACATCGTCCTGGATGATTTTGTATCGGCCAGGATGATCGGCTCAACTCAGCAAGAATCTGCTGCCAGATCTACTTAAAAAAATCTTATTCTTGGACATCGTCCCGGTGGATCGTCTTGGACTATAAAATATCGTCCCGGACGATCCTGAGCAATTTTTCCAAAAATTTTCAGGCAGTTTTCGAAAGCAATTAATGGGGATTTCATCCGGGACGATTAGACATCGTCCAGCTTCATTTCAGGGCGATATTCAGGATGATTTTCCTCATATTTGAACTGATCGGCTAGGACGATATGCCTATCGTCCTGGACGATAATGTTCGCAACTTGCATTAATGAGCTCGTTTTGAGAGCTTCTAATTAAGCTATGGCATGGCAACTTTGTAAGTGTCTTTGGCAGCCATTGTAGCTTCGTTCTTGTGGGGGAAAGTTGAAGAGAGAGCTTGAAAGGGAGAGAGGAAAGGGTTGAGTTTGAGAGGGAGAAGATCCTATGAGGGGGAGGAACTCAAGAGAGTGTGGAGGTGATTCCACACGGTTGCTCCGGCGAACTCGCACCTTAGTACCATCAGATTCAAGGCTTGTCTCGAGGTAAGTTCACCAAAGAAGAAGATCTCTTTGGTGTCAAAGGACCCGGCGACTCCGCCGCACCGGGGAAGGTGGAAGTGATTTTGTAAGGGCTTCTCCGCCTAGCTGTGGGGGCTAAAGGAGAGTCACGATATTAGTGCAATACTTGGAGGGTGCCTCCAAGGAGTGGACGTAGGTCAAGGTTTGACCGAACCACCATAAATCCAGTGTGTTCTTTCCTTATTATCGTTTCCGTATTTATTTTTCTTTCGCACTTTATTTGTGGTGATTTTGGTTGGAGTTTTATCTTTGGTTTTAAAGTTTTTCAATTCACCTCTCTCTTTTAATTAGCTTTGGGCTAGTTCTATAGGGCCTAACATCCCTAACAAACTTTCAAGTGTCATATGAGCACTTTCACATCTGCCCGATCAAACGTTGTTGAACATTCACCTGACCTTCATTTATCACTAGAGTTCAACTAAACAGTTGATTATTGTAATATAATTATCTTCAAGGTTGATTTAGTCAACTATAATATGCTCAAACACTAGTGGAATCGTTTAAACTGAGTGTGGCCCCGTGATTTTTTTCCCTTACAGGGTTATCCATGTAAAAAATATTGTGTTCTCTGTTTGTGTGCTAGATATCCGTATAACGCTGAGACGTAAAATAGTAACTCTATAACCGCATATATTCTAGCCCCTATCAGTAACGTTGTTATGAGGCCCCAATTCATCACCATCATCTTGATGAGGCCTTCTTTTTTAACTAATCCTAGCACATGCATTTTTTTTTTAATTCATTTTATTTTTGGAACAAGTCTTTGAAGCATTTAATTTTACTTTCTTGTGTGACTCAATGCTTATCTTTTGAATTTGAGATTTATGTTTTATCAAACAAGAATTTTAAGGTCCAAACAAAATTAAAAATCAGACAAATATCAATCCTTCTACAATTAACTATATGTAAAACTTTTAGAGTAATATTATTATTATATAACAAATTAATGAAACAATCAAACATAAAATATTAACCATCCAACCCAACAAACGCAATCATTCCTCAACATAACAAAATAAATACATTTTTATTCAGAAATTCGTCATCATAATAATTCTCATTCCAACGACCTTGCGCAAGTTGCGCAATAATTCATCGAGCTGTTCCATAATCTCATCGGATCCGGAATCTCTCCTTTGGAGACTTCCCCGCATTCCTATCCATTAGGCAAGCCAATCAATCAATGGGCCCCATCGCCAGCTCATCTCCCTCACGGTAACCCCACTTAATACACACCAATATATTCCTACAACCCACGTCAGCATAAAAGTTACACCCACTCATCACCCACCATAGAACTTCCTATAAAACGGCCCCACTCCCACATCGGCCTCTCCCCAACAAACTCGCCATGGCTGAAACGACTGCCTACGCCCCTCTCCCTACCACAAGCGCAGCCTCCGTATCCGCAGCCAATACAGCCATCCGGCTGCGGGTTTTGGGCCTCATCTTGCTCGCATTCTCCGCCATCCTTATTATTGGGATTGCGGCAATTCGCATTAACGGCGGCGACGATGTTTCGCCGGAGATCGGTCAGGTGCCAAATGGACCAGAGCTGGAAGGTGAAGCTTATACGATCGTATTGGGGCCGGCCTCCCGTGGGCCTGTTCTTGGCGTCTCTGAAAAGAACTCCGGCGCCGCAGCTGCCCTTCGCGGCGTCGGCCGCGGTAGCTACCCTTGGACCAATGACATGCTTCAATGGCAGCGGACGGGATTCCATTTCCAGCCTCTCAGGAACTGGATGAATGGTTAGTATAAATCATGCTTTTGTCTAATATATGAAATAAAAAAATAATATGTTTTTTTTTTTGGGAAAAAAATAATATGAATTGAATGGCTTGAATTTATTTTATTGAAAAAAGAAAATATTTTTTCGGGCCACCTTACGAAAATAATTTCCTGTAGTTATAAAATTCTATTTCTTGTAAATCCGTCTGTTTGGAGTTTTCCTCCATTAGTTTTTCTTCTTCTTGTTTTTTCTAAGTACAATGGCTGATGGTGGTTTTTTTATTTTATTTGGGTCATGATGTTCCCGTCGGTGGTCGATTTGTCTTGGCTTGGCTCTTTTGTCGCAGATCCGAACGGTAAGACAAAGCAAAACTTGAATATTATTCTATTAAATAATTTGTTATTGTTTAATACCCAATCACAGTACTTCATGAATTGTTTATGAAATTATTACTCCTAGGCATGTGAGGGGGATTCCGTCCGTTCGCATATCAAATTTGTTTAATATCTGTATGTACGTCCTATTGCATTCATTTAGAAAAGTGATAATCATAAAATTAAATTTAGGGTTGACCATTTTTCTTTATGTTTATTTAATGATTCTCGCAAGTTCTCAGAAATCACTGCAGGCCCGTGGGTGCCACTTAGGTAGTCAGGCGTCGTTCGGATTGAAATAAAAAAAATAGATGTAAAGTATTTTGAATTTTGAGAATATTGATGTTTTGTTTGAATTAAATCTCTATTGCATAAAATTTAATGTATTTATAATACATACTCTAATATAAATTTTGTGTATTTAGAATTATTTTAATTTGGACAATTTCTAAATAAATTACAAATCATTATTGTTGTCGCAACATATACCACAAACCATTGCCACTAACTGCCACCATCCCTATTGAAATAGATCAAATTAGAGTTATGTACTCTAAATAAAGAAAAATTCTCAAACCTAGGATTTGTTAGATGTCACCATCATCGCCTAAAACCACCAACCACAGCCATCAGTTACCATGGTTCTCCACTGTCGCGCACAATTGCGTTGCTTCAAATTATTACAACCACTATCGACTAAAGACCACCACAATCTTTGAACATTATTTTGCATTTATTTTACTTCAAGCAAAAAAAAAATCTCTTACATTTATTTTATACTAATTCAAACAACTCTTAAGCATTTCAAATGCAATGCATTACGCTTTATTTATTTTACATTGTATTAATTTTTCAGCCAGCCAAATAGCCCCTAAGTTGAAAAGGTTAGATTTTCTTGATTTAAGTTTAATCATAATAAATGTCAAATTTTTAATTATTCATATATTACACTTATCATAATTCTTATTTAATTATTTTGTGATTCATTATAATAATCTGAAGATATTTACAACCCCTTGTGCTGACACTTCACTGTATTTTGATTGGTCTGACTTTATTGACGAAATATTAACTAGCTGATAGACTCACGGCATCTATATATAATTGATTAACATGATTTGTTCTCGTTGAAAAAAAAAATATATTGGTTTGAACATATAGATTTGAACTAATCATATGATTGCCTCACTGATTTATTGGTAAATACATGCTAGTGGTTACTGTGCCAAACACCCCTGAGTTTGTTAAATGAAACTAATTGAGTCATTGTCAATTTGTCGTTCTTTTTTTTTTCATCAAATAAAGCTAATTTAGTGCTTGGCATATCAAGTAAAATTTATTTTAAAAGGTTGCGTAACACACAAATAATGTTATAATGGGTGTTACAGCCATTAATTAATGCATTTGATAAAATCATATATTTAGGTTTCAATTTAGTACAAATTCACTAGCTGTTAAACCTATTATGATATAAATTACATTAAGATATTCTTATCCATTTTTTTTCAACTTATCAAAGGACCGTAAGGCATCTCAGTCTTTCCTAATGAGATGAAAATCAATGCGTAACGTTCTTGAATGCCACTTGTATTATTGGGGACGGGTGGGATTCATTTTTTCTTCGTAAGTTTTGTCTATTTCCTGTCAATTTTAAAAATTATGGCAAGTGTAAGCTAAGTTCCATTTGCCCAAACCACGTGGCTCTTCAAATCTCACTTTAATTTCAGGTTAACTTGTGTTTGCTTTGCAATTCTATTAAATTCGGATAAGAAAAACCTGCTGGTCAATGGCAAAAACGCTGATTTTACACTCTTTTGTCTGGTTCATGTCCATCTTTAACCATATAATTAACTTTTATGTTTAATAGTTCAAAATTATTTATATGATGTGTATGTAAATTTTGTTGGCCAACCACTCTAATTGATGATCGGCCACATTTAGCCACTTTAGATGTATTATTTAAAGTTTTATCGATAAATGCCGATAAAAGTTTGGTGTTTGTCGATGTTTTATGACTCCCGTGAATTATGAGTCATAGATTTTATAGTTCTGATAGTATTTTGGATTCTCAAGTTTCATTCAATTCTATAAATATTTGAATAAACTAATCAAAATTTTGAATGCAGGGCCAGTGTTCTATAAGGGATGGTATCATCTTTTTTACCAGTATAACGGTGGTGGCGCAGTTTGGGGTAATATTACTTGGGGTCATGCTGTTTCTCGTGACCTAACCCATTGGCTCCACCTCCCAGTCGCTATGGTGCCTGACCATTGGTATGATATCAATGGTGTTTGGACTGGCTCTGCCACTGTGCTACCTAATGGAAACCTCATCATGCTCTACACTGGTTCCACCAACACCACTACCCAAGTCCAATGCCTTGTTGTCCCTACTAACCCTGCAGACCCCCTACTCATTCATTGGCATAAACATGAAGCCAATCCTGTCTTAATCCCCCCTCCCTCTATTCTACCCCATGACTTTCGTGATCCAACCACTGCATGGACTGACCCTTCTGACCCATCCACCTTCCTTGTTGCCATAGGCTCCAAGGATGACTCATCCAACCGCCATGCTGGTGTAGCATATGTATATGCCACACGAGATTTCCTCTCTTACAAACTTCTCCCTGATGTGCTCCACAGAGTTGAGGGGACGGGCATGTGGGAGTGCATTGATTTTTTTCCTGTAAGCGTTGATGGGCAAGCTGGGCTTGACACATCGGAGAAGGCTGGAGAGAGAATTAAACACATTTTGAAAGCTAGTCTAGATGATGATCGACATGATTATTATGCTATTGGGAGGTATGATGCTAATGAGAACAAGTGGGTGCCTGATGATGCTGAGAAGGATGTTGGAATTGGACTTAGGTATGATTGGGGCAAGTTTTATGCAGCTAAGACATTTTATGATCATCACAAGAGAAGACGGGTCTTATGGGGATGGGTTGGCGAGACAGATAGTGAACAAACTGATGTCTCAAAGGGTTGGGCCTCTATCATGGTAACTTCTTAATCTATAATGATTACTTATTTTGCAATTTTTTTTTTTAATTGAAAAATTATGCCCCAAAAATAATCTAAAAAATAACTCATGTCATTCATTATCACTTGATTACATAAATTAATCAATAATCTTCCAAATCAGAAGCGCATGTCTGTTTTATTGAGTCACCTAACAAGGTGCATGGAAATCAAGGTTCTTTCTTTTTTTATTAATTTATCTAAGAGTAGCAGAACTTCTCATTATCAATATTTTTTTTAATCATTTATAGATATAATATCGTAAAATTCTTTTGCTTTTAGTGATGATATATCGCTCAAAATTGTAAATTTTTTGATGTCATTCTTCTATTTTTCTAGCTTACTCTTGCTGAAATGTCCCTTGACGATTTTAACCCAACATGAATTTATTAGCTTACTCGCAGCTAATTGTTTCTGACAATTTGATCGCTGAGCTAATAAGATCTAAAAAGTTAAGATTATATATATATATTTTTTTTATGAAAAGAAAATTGGCTTAATTTATGATGATGCAACATAATTAGTTTTCATTTGAGATTCACTCGATTCTTGTTTATCAATTTGACTGCAGAGCATCCCTCGAACGATACTGTTCGATTCTAAAACGGGTAGCAATCTCCTCTTCTGGCCTGTAGAGGAAGTTAACTTCCTCCGCGCTAAAAGCTACGAATTCTCTTCCATTGACGTCTTGCCGGGCTCCGTCGTGCCGCTCAACATGCCGGCGAATGCGGCCCAAATTGACATTGAGGCGGAGTTTGAGGTGGAGAAGATGGCGGTAACGATGGCAGTGGAGGCCGACGTTGGCTACAATTGTAGCACTAGTAATGGGGCAAGTGGGCGCGGTCTTCTCGGACCATTCGGCCTACTCGTCCTCGCTGATAAGGATCTCGGCGAGCAGACTGCCACATACTTTTATCTCTCTGTTTCTGTTGACGGCACCACTCAAACGCATTTTTGCCAAGATGAAACCAGGCAAGTAAATTAACCTGAATATTATATATAAAACTCATTTTAGATCAAATTGAAATGCTTTAAATTTCATTCTAATGCTGAATTTGCATCTATTTTATAAAATTTAAAATAATTCAACAAGTTTTAGATTTGTCCACATTGCTTTGTCAGCTGCTCTGATCGTTTTCTGATTTTTATTTATTCAAAACTTATTAGTTTTGGTAATAAGGGTATTGCTGCAATTAATGAATAACTTTTTGTTTAATTAATGTGCAGGTCATCTCGTGCGAGTGACATAGTGAAGAGAGTAGTGGGCTATACAGTACCAGTTCTTCACGGCGAGATGCTGACCGTGAGAATACTGGTAAGTTTCGATTTTATAGTGAGAATAATTATTGGCCACTGTGACAGAATTTGGGCTGGATTTTGAAGGCTAAGCTTGTACGAATGCATTTCATTGCACTAATATGTTTTGTTCAGGTTGATCACTCAATAGTGGAAAGCTTTGCACAAGGTGGAAGGTCTGCGATTACTTCTCGCGTCTACCCAACGAAGGCATTCCACTCAGCTAAAGTATTCCTATTCAATAATGCCACCGCTGCCTCTGTAACGGCAAAGTCGATAAAGATTTGGGAGATGGAATCAACTTTCAAGCAAAATTATGAGGAACACGCATACCAATTCTCATAATCCTAATTTGTATAATGGCTATGAATATGTACGTAACCCTCTATTAGGCTAGGTCTTGTAATTGTACTTTTCTCTTGGATTAAATTAGTTCTCTCAAGTCATAGCACTCTTGTACGCCTCGAAGAAGAATCATAAGATTTTTTTTTTCTTTATTATTTTTTATCGAGATTTTCTTTTTTTTTCCCATATTTATTGTTGCACAAGAAATCCAACCTTGATTTAGGTGCAATTAATCTCACACAACTTTAAGAGCTAGATTCAAGATTACCAGCCAACCAAGAAGGATCGCTCTACAAGAATTGCTTGTTTATGTTTGGTTCATTTTTAAGTTTGTCGAGCTTATTAACGAGCGACTGGTTAATCAATCATTTAATAAAAAAACTCTACTTAATTGAGTGGCTCGATAACCAAGCTTATACCAAAATAAGACACCTTAATCCAAGGTTCGTTAAATCATAAGCAACAAAGCAAACACTTACAAGGGAGGAGAGAGGCGTGCTCTGAAATGCAAATGCTTCACTAATATTTTTAGTTATATAGAGCAAAACCAAAACTGTCCAATCAATGTAGGACTAAACTTCACAATATTTTACATTTTATTTATCATTTTTAAGCTTGTCGAGCTTATTAACGAGCGGAGGCGAGAGAGGCAGGAATAACAATTTTTTTATTAAGTAATATATTATTTAGTGAAAAATAATTATTTTATTAAGTAAAATAAATTATTTATTAATTTTATAATTCATTTATAAAGTAATAAACCCATTTCCTAAGTTATTAATTTAGTTAAATTAATTTAACAATATTTATTTTTAAAACTATTTATTCATTTCAGACTAATTTGAGTGGAACACGAGACTTAACCGAGCTCTAATCAAGCTTCTTAAAGGGCTTTGTTCATGAGTTTTAAATGATATTGTTTATAAACATAAATTAACTGAACGACAAGATGTTCAAGCTCATTTATTTAGCTATCGAATATTTTTAAGGTGTTTAATCTTGTTCATTTTGCTTATCAAATGAATATAAACGAGCTCTTATCGAGCTGAGTCACAAGCAACTTGTCAAACGCTTGGTTTATTTGCAGCCCTATTCATGAAAAAATGTTTCAAACAAAAGAATTTTATTTTGAAAAGGGGATTTGGTTGCTAGACAATCTTTACTCATCAAACTTAATTCAACCGAAAAAGGATAATTGATAATTAAGAATAAGTTAGTCCTATACCATATTGAATCCAAATTTACACTAAAATAGAAGTATACATGAACAATAGGAAGTTGGAAGTTTGAGGAGCTTATAAGACCTCAATGAATTTTCCCTGAGGCACACTAAGACGAAAGCAATACTATCACTTGATGTGGAAGCTAGTACACTTAAAAAAAAGTTATAAAGATGGTGATGATAGTCTAATCAATACAACATAATATCAATCATATATTTTAAACCTAGCAGTTATAATAGAAAATAAAATGTTAAAAAATAAAGTGCATAAAGTAAAAATTAGATTGAGCACACCAGATTTATAGTTGTTTGATCAAACCATATGGTATGTCCACTCTATGGAGTCCTCATCTCTAGGTATTGTACTATCACTAGAGTGTATCTCCTTTAGCTCCCACAGCTAAGCAGAGAAGCTCTTACAAAATCTCTTCCACCAACCTGATGCGACAGATGACCGTAATCCTTTCACAGGCATATAACCTTAAATCATTTTTCTACCTATTGGAAATGGTAGAGAACTGAAATCGTTTCATAGGTAGAGAACCTCAAATCCTTTTTCTCCCTCATAGAGATGACAAAGAACCGAAATCCTTTCACAGGAAGAGAAGCTCGAATTCCTTTCACCCTTTCCAATGCGGCGGAGTAGCCGGATGATTCGAACAAAGATATCTTCTTCTAAAAACTTCCCTCAAGATAAACCTTGACATATATAGGAACTCAGGTGCAAGTTCACTGGAGCAACCATGCCAAAATCTCTCTCATCCTCCTTTTAAACCCACACGGATCTTCTCTCTTTCTCTCTCTAGCTAAATGCTCTCTCTTCAAGCTTTCTCCAGAAGAAATATATGAATGTCAAAAAGATACTTACAAAGTATTATGAGAAAGCTTAAATATAGGGCTTTTAAAAATCCTAAAAAATTTAATTTAGTCATCAAAGATTATATAGTATGATCGTATGATCGTCTAGTATGGTGTATAGAATTTGACATGTTAGTAGTATATGATCATCAATATGAATGACCAGTCATGCAGTATGATTAGATCAATCGAAATGCAATTCATTAAGGATGAATCATGGGATGACCAAATATATTATCTCTATTGATCATATAGTATAATTTATTTCATACAGTATGATCAAAATATCAAAATTAAGTAGATTTAATTGATTAATTATAGAATTAAATTATGTAATATTTTAAACATCGTACAATACGATTAGATTTTTATAGTATTTATATAATAACTTTTCAAATTTAATTTTTTTGTCTAATTTAATAAATGGTGGGGTTTCTAATTATAACAAATCTTCTAGTATGATGTGGTATTAGTACTATATGAGCAGTTATAGCTAAAAAAAATTTAGAAAAAATAAAATATTTTAATTAATTTCCATAACATCAGATCATACAGTATTATATATAAAAAATTAAAATATTTAAAATTATTTTTTCTCCCCTTGTGTATGTGTACATGATCATCAGTCTAGCATGTACCCTTACAAGACTTGACTCAAGAAATTAAAAATAAATAAATGAAATTATAGTAACTTTCAATATAGCCTAGTTTACCCCATCTTGAGCCTTGAATTTTCTAATAATGGTGTATGTTATACCTGAAATGTTAATTAACACACAAATAAATATGCATTATAAATATAAGGAAAGATATATAAATAATCAATAATATTTGTCTTAATCAAAATCATAATCTCCAGAGCCCGAGTTGCAATAATCTCTCTCTCTCTTTTATGAAAGAAAATATTATTGGTTGAATTTACAAGCTAAAAATTTTTTCTCCTGATCTCCTTCTTATTAAAAAAATTATATTAAAAAAATAAGAAAGCATTTTTTTTAAAAATTTTTAGGATAAATAAAGTCTTAAAACTAAATAATAAAAAAATTTTAAAACTAAATCATAAATATAAACAACCATAATACATTCTGCCCCTTTGGTATTGTAAAAATGAAGAGATAAAATAACACCTAAAACTAAAATAAATACATAAGAAAATAACAAAATACATAAAAAAACAAAAACATAAAATTATGATTAAAACACAATAAAAATCAAACAAACAATAGAGATAAACAATCACATAAAATACATAAACAAAACACATAAATAAACCTTAACATATTTATATCTAATTAAAATTAACAATTGAATCCTTAACTATTTAGCATAAGTTTGTTACCTCATCATTATGCTCCTATTCTAATGATTGAGAAGATAGGCCGGCCTAGTAGATTTTTTGCTTCTTATCATTTTCCTTTATTGCATTTTTCTTATTTTTGCCCTTTTTCTTTATTGGACAAGTTTCTAAATTTGGGCATTCATATTTTAGATGTCCAAATTTCCTACACCCAAAGTAAATAAAGTCATAACATAATATAACATTTTTATCATTTTTATCATTGCTCCACTTTTGTTAATGCTTATGCTTTTGCTTTAATAATTTTTTTAATTTGTTTATTATCAATTCTATCTCACTGCTCTCATTATATACAGCCACATTCATCCATGTTATTATCTTTTAACACTATAGTATTCTCATCACCTATATCAAAAGTCTTTGTCTCATACTTTGCTTGTAGGCAATGAGTGAGTCGATTAGATTATCAATAGAATAAGTATTCAAATCTTTTTATTCATATATAACCATGACTTTGGCATCAAATTTATCAACCAGACAATGTAGAATTTTGTTAACATTTTCAAAGTTAAGTTCTCTACCTAAAGCATGTAAATATGGTATTATCTAAGTAAATCTAGAATCAATGTCTAAGATAGTCTAATAAGATTTCATGCTAAAAAGTTCATAGTCATGTAGTAATAAATTTAACCTAGATTGTTTGACTTCACCAGTACCTTCATATGTAATGCATAGCCTATCCCAAATATTATTGCATATTATATAATACGAAACTCTTATATAGTTTTTAGAAGTTAAAGCACGGAGAATGCAATTCAAAGATTTAGCATTTAATTAAGCATAAATTTATTCTTCTCTACTCCAATAAGTAAAAGGAATATTTATATTGACTCCTTTAATAATTTGTGATGGTACAAAATTGCCAGTTTAAATCATAAGCCACATTCTAAAATTAATAAATTGTAAAAACATAGACATGTAAAATTTTCAAAAATAAAAAGGATATTTTTAAAAAAGTGGCAGATGAGATATTAAATAACACTCTATAATGTTTCTATTTCTAAAGTGTGTCATAGATCATTTTTCTCAAGGTTTTTTAAAGTGCTACTTTTTAGATCGGCTCCAATACCACTTAAAAGTTAGGGGAGGTTGTAAGACCACAATGAACTATCCCTAAGGCACACTAAGATGAAAGTAATACTATCACTTGAAATAAAAGCTAGTAATTTTATTAAAAGTTATAAAGATGGCGATGATAATCTAATCAACACAACATAATAGATTTTTAGCGAAGCAGTTATACAAAAAAAGAATATAAAAAAATAAAGTGCAAAAAATAAAAATTATAATAAACCTACGTGTTATAATGGTTTGGTCAAACTATGACCTACGTTCACTCCCTAGAGTTCTTCTCTCTAGGTATTGCACTATCACTATAGTGTCTCTCCTTTAGCCCCCAAAGCTAGGTGGAGAAGCCCTTACAAAATCTCTTCCACTAACTCGTTGTGGCAGATGACTGTAATCTTTTCACAGGCAGAGAATCATAATCCTTTCACAGGCAGCAAATATCAAATCATTTTTCTCCCTCATGGAGATGGCAAAGACCCATAATCCTTTCATAGGCAGAGGACCTCCAATCTATTTCACCTTTCTTGATGCGGCAGAATAGTTGGGTCCTTTAACATAAAAGAGATCTTCTTCCCAAAACTTTCCTAAAGACAAATCATGACACATGGAAGAACTCAGGTGCAAGTTCATCGGATTAACCATATGGAACTCTCTC